TATTCTCGCCTGCAAACGATGTAAGCGCAGGCCGGTGGGCGCACTTACAACGCTCTCAGAAGACACAGGGCGGGGGCCGGGAAACTTTAAACTCCGTGAAGTGGGTGGCCTGTCCTGGTCACCATGGAAGCCTTGAACGCTTTATCCGTCGAAGCATCAATATCGGACTCGGTTGGGTCGGCAGAGGATATCTACTGTCAAGTTTTAGCACGACTCGGTTTCCGAATGACGCTCGGAATCGCGTACTAGCTTACGTTGCAATGATCCCACCGCAGATGAGGGCGCCGTTCAGACGGTTCTCAAGATGAAGACACCATTGAACAGATGATGGGTTTCATCCATCACCCGTACCATACACACCTGTCCAACGTTCTGGAACCTGGAGTCTCACTGACAGGGGTTGGCCTGCTCCGCATAGCCAAGTGAGGAACAAGCTTTTCAACGACGACCTAGGTGACGCTTGTGTGACGGATAATAGCCGCGCGGATAGGGCCTTCTAGGCTTAGCCTGGGAGCGAAGGGGAAACAAGGAGCGCTTCAATTTGTCAAGGGGGCTCTTATTTCACACCCCTCCTGCTAGCCGGCGCACCCTTCGGTGGCTTGACGCTGAGGTAATCACTGGCGATTGGCTGCTTAGGAAACTCGCGATAGTTCTGTGTTACTGTGAAAACACTGTCTCTATCCTACTTTCTGCTACTTACCTGCTAGCTTACCCTCTGCTGGCTGGCCTTCCTTCTGCTTCTAAGGCCTCACTTATAGAGGGCAGGGCTGAGGGCAAGCTAGCAGAGGGAAACCCAGAAGGAGGGCAGGCCGGAGGGTAGAGGCAGCGCTGCCGCAAGTGCAAGTCACTTAGCAAGTAATACAAGCTAATCAGCTAAGTTAACGCTATCGCTACCACCTAAATAAGCAATTTATTAGCCCTTAATTAAATTATTAGATTTAATATCTTATTTATAAATAGATCTAATTAATAAGAAGCTATAGATTAGTTAGCGCTTTATTTATTTTAGTATATATAGTTATTAAAATATAATACTATTATTAATATTATAATATCTCTATATCTAATTAATATTCTATAAACTACTCTTAAAATATTAGATTTTAAGTAATCTTTTTAAAACTTTCTAAAAAAGTAGAAGTTATTATAATAGTTTAAATAGTATAAAAAGTATTATAATTAGCTATTTTTTATAAAAGATATTTATTATTTTATATCTTCTTTATTATTTATACTTATATATTTATACTTCTTATAATATTAATTATTATTACTACTTCTTTATTTATTACTAATATATATATATTTTTAAGTACCTCTTATATTTAAATTTTAACTTAAATTATAGTTATTTATACTATTAATACTTCTCTAAATCTTATAATTAATAACCTATCTTATATTATTACAAATAACTAGAAGTATATAGTTAAAAAGTAGTTATTATAAAAGTAAAATAAAGGTTAATTAAACTAAATTTAGTACTATAGCTACTTCTTTATTAAAGTTATATAAAGCTAAACTAATACCTCTTTCTAAAGTTATTAGTAATATAATATAAAAAGAGCTTTATAGCTATTTAGTACTTTTATTATTATTACTAAATAAAAGTATTTACTTTAATATATTATTTTAAGTTTTTAGATTATATAAATTATACTTTAATAATACTAAAATAGCTATAATATTTATAAAATCTCTCCTCTATTAAATAAAAACTCTAATAATATTACTTTTACTTCTTTATTTTTTATATAATACTATCTCTATATAAAAAACTTCACTTTATTAATATTAATATCCTAAAAACTAAGATTATAACTTTTAAAAACTTCTATATTACCTCTATTATTTCTATTAATCTACTATTTACTTATTTTAAAAATATCTTCTTCTAATAAATCTTTTAGTACTATAATATAGAAGTTATTAGTAAAGTCTTATAAAACTAAAACTCTATTTAAAATTAATTCTAAGATTTCTTCTAATATAATAAAGCTTTTATAATAGCTAAACTCTACTTAGTAATATTAAAAATATATTTATTATTTAATCTATAATCCTTACTTAATATTTATACCTTTATAGTAGTTATTAATTACTTTATTAATAATAAAAGTACTTTATAATTATATCTTTTAGCTTTCTTTTAATATTATAGAAACTATAATAATAAAAACTTTATAGAGATCTTTATTAGCATTATTAATTAGTATTAAATTTAAAACTATATTAAAATAATAATTACTAATAATACTATAAATAATAATACTTATTTTTAAGTTTTTTACTAATAAATTAACTTAAAAATAATAGAAATAGATATTTAAGCTTAATATATATAGTATTATAACTATATCTTTAATCTTATAGCTTAAGCTTTCTTATTTAGTAAGGACTAAAAGATTCTTAAAGTTAAATTAAATTACTATTAGCTTATAAAGTAATATAATAAAGATTTAAAAATATAATAATATTTTAAGCTTATTAACTAGCTTTAGAATATTATTAAGTTTATATAAGTTTCTCTATAATAAATAGAATAATACTAAAAAGTAATAATAGAGATTAATAATAGCTCTAACTTTTAAATCTTCTTTAAGTTATATTAAGAAGTTTAGCTTATACTAAATAATAATACTTATTAAAATAATATATATTTAATAATTAAGAGGGTTATAAAAAAAAAGAGATTTAAACTTTCTTATTAGTTAATAATAATAATAAGAATATTAAATAGTATATATTAAAGTTAGACTTACTTTCTACTAATAATTAAAAAGTCCTTATTAAGATCTTAATAATCTTTAAGCTTTTTTATAATTAAATAAAGTAGTATAAAAGCTAAAGTATTAATAATAGATATAGCTAACTTTAAGAAGTTATAATAAATATTAAATACTTTCTTTTATATTTCATTAACTAAAAGATATATTATAATATTAATATTAATCTTAAAGTTAATAATAATAATAAAAGTACCTCTTAGCTACTATAGCTATTTTAAAAGTATACTAACTAAGCTTAATACTATTAATATAATATTTAAACTTTATTTACTTATATATAAAAAAATTAAATATTATTAACTTTATAATCTATTTTATAATTTAAAACTCTTAATAAAAAGTAATAAATTTTCCTCTATAATAGTATTAAGTAAGTATAATAAAAGCTTTTTAACTACTATAAGTTTCTTAAAGAGTTATTATTATTTTTTAATATAATTATTTTATATTTATTATATAATATCTTATATCTAAGAGATATATAAAGTAAAGATTACTAAAAAAGATAGATTAAAAAAGCTCTAAGTATTTTTATAAAGTACTTTAACTAATAGTATTATTAGTTTAATAAGATCTTATTATTAAGTTAATAAGCTAATATACTTCTTATTAATTTTAGTACTAAAAATATAGAAAATATTTATTATTAATAATAAATTAATAGCTAATACTATTAAATATTACTTTAAATAAGTAAATTTAATCTCTACTTCTATTAGCTTTTAGAGATTACTTCTAAATTAATATAATAATAAATAAACTATATAAAAACTTTTTTAAAACTCTCTTAGTTTATTATTAATATTTTTACTATATTAATAATAATAGCTAACTATAAGAAAGTTTTTAGTACTACTAAGTTAAGCTTTTTATTATAGAAGTTTTTAATAATACTAAATACTATAGAGACCTTCTAACTAAATAAGAACTAACTAAAAAAAGAAGTAATAATACTTTAGAATTACTTTAAGCTACTAGAAGTATTATAACTTTATTTACTTATTACTTAATTAAGAAGTAGTAATAATATTATTTACTATAATATTTAACTTACTATACTTATAAATTAGCTAATAATTAAAGCCTAAGAAAAAGATCACTCAGTTAACAAGTATAGGGGGCAAAATTGACTTGATTGCACTTGCGGCAGCGCTGGGTAGAGGGCAGAGTAAGCAAGACTTACACAACAGCCTCTAGTTAAGCAGTTCGGCAGCAGACTTCACACATGCCTAGCCACACTCCAGCCACTGAAGGGTGCGCCGGCTAGCATGAGGGGTGCGCCGGGGAGAGTGGCCCTTTGTCAGTTGCTCTGGAGAGAGCAAGGATGAGCCTAGACGCGTACAGTGAAGCGGACATATCCAGTCATGAAGGTTTGCCGTTCGCCGAAGTCATGACAGAGAAGACGGGGTGAGAGTTGTGGGGGACGGACATTTTGTGAAAGGGCCGCTCAGCCAGACGGGATGGACGGAATGCGAACGTTTCAGCAGAAAAGTCAATATCATGAGTTGAACCCCAGCTTGGTCTCATTTCTGAAACGGTCAAATGTACATCGACATTTCCCATCAACTTGCGATAAGACTCAGCCCCCCAACTCAAGTCCATATACCCTTGACAACGAGTTGACTGGCCAGTTCCTAGTTCAAGGTTGCGGGCAGGAGGATGGAAACTTCGATTACGCCAGCAACCCTATCGTGGGCAGCGTTATATAGAATGAAGGACAGCATGCAGAAACTATCTGTTGCTGCCTCTGGGCAGGAAATTTTATCCCTCCACATATGGCCGACTTGCGATCATGATATCGACGAAGAGGTTTTCAGTGCAAGCGAGAGAGGCACGCATCGTGTACTTGAGTTGCTTGAGCTGTTTGGTAGTATTGGTGGTTTTCTTCAGCCTTAACCTATGGCCACAATTCGATTTGGGCTCTCTTCACTTTACCGAGGGCCACTCGAAGACACAACATGGCTACCAGTCGACGCACAATACCGATGCGACAACGAATACGACCGACGATGGCGAGACTCTCTCACTCATTCCAAGTCACTCAACAACAGCAAAACCGGCCGGACTAAACGGTTTGAAATATGCCATCATCCTTCCAACATACGTAGGTTTTCTTCACGGGAAGGCACTGATGCCGAGTACCGATGGACTAACATGCTTGGCATCTAGACAAAACATATACCGCTGGCCATCGAGTTCTTCCAGTCATTCATGTGCCTGTGCACCGACTACCACGAAATCGATATCCACGTAATCGTTTCTGACTCCAATGAGGTGAAGGAGTTCCAAGATGCCTTGAACGGTCTGAAGAGTTGTGGCGAAACATTCAGCATATTCCAAACACCACCGGCGAACATTAACGGACCGAAACCGAAGTTCAACATTGTGAACCTTTTCGACATATTGCCGCCAGTTTTTCACACTTTGACTAAAGGTAAAATCACGGGCGCAGACACATCGGCGCTGATAAGTGAACGCAACAAATTTCAGTACCAAACAATCAAAAAGATGGCCGCGGCTATGGAACTCAAGTATGACTGGGCACTGTGGTTGGACTCCGAAGCCATTGCTGTGCAGCCGTTCAGCATCAGGCAGACTTTCGACAGTTACATCAAGAACCCAACAATATTCAGGTCTAAAATGACCAACACCGACTTCATGCGAGCCATCATAGGCAGCTCTGCGAACGTACTGAATCGGGACATTGAGTCGTTTGGGCAGAAGTTCTGGAACTTGGAGAGGTAGGCAAGATTCGCGGACCCAGCTACCAACCACACCAACTAACTCGTACTCTTCTCTCAGCGTGGAGTGGATATTTGAGAAGGCAGTCATCGACGATCTCGTTCAATACGTGGAGAACACCCATAACCAGGACTTTTGGACTGTCTGGGCCACTCGGGGTTCCCCATTCGAAATCAGTCTCTACAATATGCACGTTCAAGCACGGAAGCTGGAGACAACCAACCCAATGTTTACGAAGTATCAAATCATCGAAACGGAAACAGAGATGGAGAGGTTTGGCATCGGTAAGTGACAAACGTTTGGCTACAGCCTGGAATCCGGGTCTCAAGTTTACAGTTGCTAACATCGCTTGCTCACTAGGAGCGGCAAGGGCGATCATGGACACGATGACAGGCACTGGAATGCTCGAGAGAGGCTACGAACTCTTCAAAGTAGCAGAAGTCGTGCCTGGCTTCTCCGCAATGTTGAAGAAGTTCGGACAACGTCTATTTCGACTGGACGACCTCGGTATCGCCCCGCCAGAAGTAATCGACAAATTCCTCTTGGACACACCAATAGACATTTTGTGCTCAGGTGCACCTCCACTACACAGCTGGTGGGAGCAACGAAAGAAAACCATTAGATAGCGTCATGAATAAAATACCCCTTTTCATTCTGTATAACGCAAAGGCCACTCATGCGCACAATCTGCACAAGGATTGTGAAGTCCTCACAACCTTGACGTGACTCGGCCATACCGAAAGTACTAACAATTACAATTAGAGTTTCCCTGTCACCCCTCAGGTCCTCGCCAACACACTCTTCTGGTAGGTCAAGCGTCGCTCCCCTCCTGACATGCCAGGAGCTATCCTTCGTGTCGGGAGCTATCCTTTCGCAAATGATGAACTTAGACATCGCCTCAGCACTGGAGGGCAATCCTAGAAAGTTGACCAATAGTACTATTACCCGCCGTTGCCGCGCCGGTCACATACAGAATCCTTTCAGGTTGAAATCTGTCCAAAGCCACGGAGGACGCAGACCCCAGAAAGGGTGAGGATGCGAGAACATCCTTTCCGCCCCTAACTGCATCGATTTTAAGAACCTCTTGAGGACCGTTTGTGGCAACATAAGCCCATTTCCCGTCCTTTGACAGCGTGAAGTCGTCGCCGAAGGTGATGTTTGAGGCTAGAACCTGCACAGGCCCAGCTGCCGACCCATCGGCAAGGGAGATGGGAAGTTTTGCGAACAGGCCCTGGTCCAAGCTCACAAAGAAGAGATCGCTGCCGCGAATGCGAATGCCATTAACGCCGATGCTGAGACCGGTAGACAACGGGGCCATTTCAGGCTCCTCGAGAACTGTATCGAAAACTCCAGTATCGACATCGAGACGGTAGACCGTCCCCGCGCTTGAATCCGAAATAAGAAGGTTCTTCGTATCGTTCGCTGCCAGACGGGTCATGCCGTTGAGCTGCTTTGCTGAGGGGATGCGCTGGACCAATGAAACTTCGGCAGCCTGGATGACAGTGCCGTTTCGGGAAATTTCGAAGTTGCGGAGATTAACTTTCCACACTCCGTTAGAGTTCTCAGTCGACGTCAGGTTCGATCCAACGACGTAGAAAGAGTCGTGCTCCATCTCGGAGATTCCAAGAAGACCAGTAACGCCGTCTATCTTAGCGACGGGAATCGGAGGGTGTTCGTTCGTAGGAGACAACTGGTGTAGGATCGGCGATGAAATGGAGGCGACGAGGATATTGCCATTGCGCCGGACTGCGAGGTTCTCGAGTGTTGTGGTGCCAGGCACCGTATGAACCGACGTCACGTTCGCCGTCTTGCCGTTGCAATAGCTGTAAGGCAGAGAGTGGACTGATGCAGCCAGAGAGAGGACGGCGAGCCCGAAGGCCGGAAGAACAGCATGCGAAACAAACATGGCTGGGAGATCTCTGGTTGAGCAGATTTCAGGGGTAAGACCTGACGAGAGATATCAAGTCGGGGGAGTACTGGCTTTTATGGCATGAAGCCGCGGTATCGACAAAGAAGCACTAAGGTCCAAAAAACCCAGTCAAGAGATATTAGGTATCCACACGAATCGCCATGAGCTGGTCGTGAATTGAACTCTGAGCAAGATGACATGAACGGTGTTTGCACTTTAAGTCCGAGCCCTCAAGATGCACACGATTCAACGGGCCCAGACGTCCACAGCTCACCACTTACTATTGTTTCTACAAGATTTGTTTCGTTGCAATAAACAACTGACCCTGCCAGCCAAAGCGAGCCGCCGCGCAAGCGTCAGTAAAAAGAATCAACGCCTTCGGGGCAAAGTTGCCGGAACACAGTGAGTAGGAAACATCCAGCTCCGCGCTTTCCACGGCATCCACGGGGCGAGGCGAAAAGAGCCAAGATTGAGTAGTTCAACACGTCTCATAGTCAGTGCAATAGATGGGTTGGTCCGTTGGATAGGGGATCACCTAGACCACCTGGTTTTCCTATGTCTGCGCGGCATTCCTGTGGCTGCAATTACTCCCTCCTATTGAAGACGATAGTAGTGATAGCGACGACGACGACAACGATGACGACAGAAGTAATAAAGGGAACGATGGTAAGGTAGAGTCTAGCCACGGGAAAAGTAGTCGCTCTAGCACAGGAAAGAAAGGCGATCTGGTTGAATAGTTGCCGAGGCATTTGAAGCCCTTGTCCGAGCTGACAGTTCGATGTTAATATTGCGTTCGCAGAGCTTTGCTGCCCGCCTAAAACGGGTGCATCGATTTTCATGGGCCCTTAGATATCATCTTGAAAATGGAAATAGTCATCAATCCTAACAGGATGGGGACTTTCAACTGCAATAGTCATCGTCGTACATCCGTGATGACAGAGAGAAGCGGAGTAAGAAATTTGTGCAGTGAAGGGACGGCAAGAGGGGCGGTGTTCAACCCTGGACAAGGGAAACATTTCCCGGGAATCCGCATTCTCAATAAGATACAGAAGACCCTACACGCGTGCGTTTACGAGATCTTAGGGCGGGCAGTGACCCCGACTACTTCAGTCACTCATGGCGGACAGAAGACCTACCAATGACTTCAATTACAGTGAATACATCATCGATATTTCCATGTTAAGTCCATGTCAGCGGGGACAAGCTCTAAATCCGGTCTTCGAAAACATTCTACTCGGTGATCCGATTCATGGGCCCCACTATGTTTGCCGCCGGGTGGTCCCGATACCGAGTTTTGTGGCGCCGGTTTGCCAGGTTGTCAGCGACCCGCATGTTAACGCCGGAACTCCGTCAGTGCATCGCGGCGCTCTCTCATTCACCCGCGCGCTGTACGTCATCACGAGAGTCTCAATCGTACAAGTCTCATTATATATAAAGAAGTCTAGTTGCCAAGCATCACTATCTGTTCACTTGTCAGTAAAGACTTTGGCACACACGATTCAAGAATTCAATTCAACTATCAAACGGCACTAGATCAACCAATCAAAATGGCCAAGACACTAGCTTTCGGAGACATTGAGGTCCCTTCCCCTGGCTTTGGTGCTATGGGAATCAGCTTTGGTCTCGGTTCCAACTTGAGTCTCGAGGAGGCTGAGCCCGTGCTTCTGAAGGCAATTGAGCTGGGATGCACATTCTGGGACACTGCTGTAAGTGTTACTCGAGTTTTCGCAGTTGCAATTGCGGGATCTGACTATTGTTATCCAGGTGGTCTACCAAGCAGGTGTAAACGAGAAGCTCCTTGGAGAGTTCATTAGAAAACACAACGTTCGCGACAAGGTTTTCAGTAAGTCCAAGAAACTCATCAACCCAGATTGAAACTAACTCTTTCCAGTCGCTTCCAAGTGCGGTTTCGATGTGTTTGGAAAGGGTGGAGTGACCAACTCTGCGTCCCACATCAAGCAGTACATCGAGGGAACCATTGAGAGACTTGGCTTCGCCCCCGACCTCTACTACCTCCACCGCATCGACCCTAGTATGTCACTTTGTCGAAGTCTTTTGGATTTCTAAGCTAAATCCAATACTAGACACACCACTCGAGGAGTCTATCCCTGCACTAGATGAGATTCGCAAGGCGGGAAAGACGAAGTACATTGGCTTGTCCGAGTGCTCAGCTGCGACGTTGCGCAAGGCCAACTCTAGTGAGTTTCGATACATCTCTAACAAAATTCAATCGAGGAAGCTAACAACATGCAGTTGCCAAGATTGATGCAGTCCAAGCAGAGTACTCAGCCTTTGAGACTCTCCACGAGACCGACGGACTTATTGACACCGCCAAGGAGCTGGGTGTCGCGTATGTCGCCTACAGTCCTCTGGGTCATGGCTGGCTGGTCGACGATTTCCCTTTCAAGAGCCCCGACGACTTTGCTCCGGATGACTTCCGTCGCAGTGGTTAGTTGCCTCGTCTGAAGTGACTACTGCATGTGTACCGTGCTGACATTGGTTGAAACAGTTCCCAAGTTCCAGGGAGAGAACTTCTACAAGAACAAGGCTATTGTCGATGAGATTAAGAAGCTTGCAGACAAGAAGGGCTGCACTCTGCCCCAGATCGCCCTCGCGTGGGTTGCTGCTCAGGGCATGATTGCCATCCCCGGTACAACCAAGGCCAAGAGGCTAGAGGAGAACTGGGCTTCTCGAGATGTCGAGTTGACAGAGGAAGAAAAAAAGGAGATGAGAAGGATTATTGACGCTGCCAAGCCTCATGGAACGAGATATGGTCCCAGTCACCAGGCTCTGGTTGGGCACTAAATCAGGCTGTGGAGTGCGCAAACAACCTTTAGGTGTTAAATGAATGAAACTTTTCACTAGTGTTGTTCGGCACTTATAGATAAGACCAGCTTTACCAAAGCATAGCGACCTGGACCACCTGTTCTCTTCCAATGGCCTTTCTAGAACGTTGATGTTCGTTTGCCTGCCGGAATTATAACTCGTCGGAGCCGTCCGTTCCCTAGCGTTGTCGTACTCGGGCAGAATGGTCTATCGAACTCTATTTTAGTTAGGCTCGTCGTTGAATCTTTCGCTGATAGGTGATTAATCTGAAACCGTCGCAACGAGTCTAAATCTAGCCCTCAGACGATAAGAAAGGACTGAGGAAAAGTCCGTTGTCCAAAACACTGTTCATCATCACAATATAACCTTCTAGAAAATTTTCGAATGCGTTGCTTCCCAGACGCGAACGGCGAGTATGCCGCCCAAAGTCGCTTATACAACGGCAGGGAAGGCGTCTTCCAGAATACGACAAGCATGCGATATCTGCCACACCCGCAAGATTAGATGCGACGGGCGCCGTCCGTGCATGAACTGTCGGTTGGCGAGGGTTGACTGTACTTACAACGCCGTGCCCAAGAAGACCGGACCAAAAGGGCCACGACTTAAGCGTAAATATCATCATCGGGCGGCAACTTACTCCAGGTTCGGCAACTAAGTCGGAGTGAACAGGTTCCGACAGTGCTCGAACTACGGAAGCCGCATCATGGAGCGAGACTCAGGTCGAATTTCGGCCGTCACCTCTAGTTTCAGCCGACCTGTTCAGGCGATATCTGGACGTTTACTTCATACGAAAATATCCCATCACGCCCATATTGGATCGCAATTGCATGGAAGAATGCGTCTCGACTTATTCCGAGTCACCCGAAAAGTACGGGTTATTGACATCGTGCTGTGCAACCATAGCTTTGGATTCAGAAGTATTGTTGCAAAAGTTTGAACCGACGCCAGCACATCTACTATCGTCTGCTCAGCCCAGCGTAATTCTTCCAACGCCCGAATTCTTCGTCCAGGAAACGCTTCGTGCAAGACGGCATATTCATCTTGCCGAAAGTCTATCCCTCACGCACATTTACACGTCATTCTTTCTCTCGCATGCTTTCTTCTGTCTCAATAATGGGAACGCCGCTTGGGTTTACCTCAGAGAGTCTGTTACAATCCTGCAAACGCTCCGGCTCCACGAAGAAGCAACATACAGCGAAATCAGAGATCAGACCGTGGCTACATATGCTCGACGGATGTTTTGGACGCTCTTCGTCACGGAACGGTCTTTCACAATACAGCGAGAAAGACCACTAACGCTACTACCCACGATAAACCTACCTGAAGTCGACCCTCTTAGTCCTGACGCCGAGATACTGGCAGGGTTTCTTGATCTCGTGTCGCTTTTCCTTCCATTTGACTTCGACTTTATTACCACTATGAACCTACCTATTTCTCCGGCGTTGAAAACGACAAAGGCAGTGCAATTCAGGCGGCTGCAGGACAAATTGTCGAACTGTCTTGCCAAAATATCGCACTATCCCGAGGCACAGCAAGCAGATTTACTAGTCACTCGAGAGTGGCTCAAGATCATCGTCTGGAAGATTTGCGTGTCAAAATCCCTACTATCAAGCAGCACAAATAGTAGAGATAGCATGTCGCTTAGCTATCCTTCGTCGATAGCCCGCGAAACCGTCCTCATCTCCAGGTTACTACCGTCAAAGGCCTTCGAGGCTAACGGAGTTGCCATCCTAGAGAAAGTATTTGACGTAGGATGTTCACTAGCTGACGTCCTGTCACTTAATCCGCATCCGCCAAGCAGTGTTTGGTCAGCGATGGACGTTGGTCCGATCGATGTCCTGGTGGAAATTGTCAGAATAGCAGGCACAAAATTCGGTGACGGCTACCAGCATCTGCGAATACTGGTAGATAAAACATATCGATGTGTGCTCATGAATGTTGATAGAAGTCTACCCTTGCCATCAGATACGTTACGGGTAGAACCAGAAGAGATAGATTGACTGACCTCGAGTAGCTGAGCTCAAGGCTGCACAGGATTTCATGAAAATACTATTAATGTGGATATCTAACACATTGCTGCGCCTGTATCTGACAATATTCTGGTCCTTGACCGTAACCCAGTGCCATGGTTCCGATTCACTACGTTCAAGCCGTTATTGGCCTGGTTTAACCCACCGTTCATGCGAAAGTTATTGTTGGTTCGGATTCCTTTACCCTTTGAATCTGGACCGTATTTTGTTTTACTTGGGCCCCCTTTAGGGCACTGGGTCACGCTCATAAAATCATGAATCCACAAGCACTTACATCGTCAGCTGCTTGAATGACGAAGAAACTAGAAACAACATTTGAAACGGTCTTTTTCAAGTCGAAGCATATGGTAAAGCCTTTATGTGTGACTCCTTCCACATCGAGTGACTCTTAAATCTTCTCCAGGGTTGCAAAGAAAATAACTGAGACAGAGGTTCGAAGAAACACCACCTAATCCAATACAACAGCGAAGATTCTCCAAGAACTTACGCATCTAATATATATTAGGGTAGCGGTTGAACTCAGAAAGTTGAACGACACCTCCATCCTACCCAAAGAAGTTGCCCCCATCAGCATGGAGAAGAACTCTACCCTTACCACCACGAGCTTTGCGACTCGTTCACGAACAGTGTATATCATCAGACGTGTACACGTATCTTTCTCCCGTAAAGGAAAAAATGTCCGTCGCGATCTTCTGCTGGACTCTGCCGTTCTTGTTCTCAGTTGCACAGACCATGATGATGGGATGCTGTGGTATACTGTTTCTAGAAGACACCAGCAAACCCCAGTGTGGACACGGATCGAAGTCAGCGCCAACAAGAACCATCCCAATCTGAAACAACTTGGAGGGTGTTCTTACACTAACGCTTGGATCGATCGATTTGGTATGGCCTTTCTCTCTATGAACGATAGCTGCTAACGTGTCCGTCCATTTAGCTCAGAAGATCACTAGGTCTCTTAAAGTTGACAGCAGTGACCTTTCACCGTCGTCGCTCGCCCACAAATTCTGTCTTCGGATGATAGAATTTCTTTTGGGGTCTTGCGGCGGGGTCGTTTCCTTTCCCCGACACATTTCGCGATCGACTCTGAAGGCTGACTACGCTCACGGCCCGGCGGTTTTTGTCCGTAGTGCTGTCAAATCCAGCCTTGCCTGGGAGCCCGAGTCGAGTACAGACGACGACACGCAAGATGCATCCGAAGCCTACGATACTGACTCCGTCATGTCTGAATTCGATCTTGCATCGGATGAGGATTTTGATCCAGGCTATGTTTCTGAGGATTCACCTTCTGACGCTTCCGATTCTTCAACTTGCATAGACATGTTGACTGATCTGGGTGAATATGAAGATGAAGACGACGAGGCAGCTGGAGAGGCAGATGACCAGGAAGATGACGAGGAAGATGATCTCGAGCCGTCTCATGCCCGCTGTTTCGCAAAGCGATACGAGAAGGTGCGCGTCATGTCCATGATATGGGACGTGAGCGGCTTGTGTTCGACTAAGTACCCGTACACTGTCGATCAAGAAATGGAAGACCCCATGGAATCTTTCGAGGATTATCGGTATGAAGTCGAGAAATTCACTATTCCTTCAACACTCCCTGCCCGAAGACTCCAGGAGAAGTTTCGACAGTGCAGAAAGTCTTTGGAATACGAAAACTCGGAAACGTTGCTTATCTTTTGGTACAACGGACATGGCGACATCGTGGGTGATGGGAGAGATCTGGTGTTGTGCGGGTAAGTCAATCAATGAGGTGTTTTCGTTCGAGATTCGCATCGCATTTCTAAGTACTATGATTGAAGAAACCTCACTAATCAAGGTTTTAGCGAACTGACCATGATTTACTGGAAGGATATAGTTGCTGGGATTCTCCGTTTGCCGTGTGACGTTCTCGTCGTACTGGACTGCTGTCATGCCGGCGCCTTCGTTCAAGATGAGAAGTTTCTCAAGCCGTTCCTTCAACAAAACCGCCGGTATATCAAAGAGGTTTTGTGTACCGCTGGATTTGAGAGAACAACCAAGTTTGGACAGCGGTACTCACTAGCTCCGGTACTGAGCGAAACGTTAGATGCCCACAGACAACGAGGAGGGTTGGGTCTAGATCATCTCTTCAGCGTACTCAACTACAAACTGAAGAACCACTATATCAGAGGCAAGAAGAGGTCCAACACTCTCGTACTTCAGAGACTGATTTCAGGGCGTCCGGGAACACTTCAGATCCACCCCTTGCCTGACCCAAGCAGCGTTCTCACGAAGAAGAGGTCAGCTTCATCTACCTTTGCTAGTTGTGGGGAAGAACAGCCTAAACGGCGCAAGAAGGTGGCAAAAGCTCCCGTCAGACAGAAGTGGATTTGCATCCAAGGGCGATGGGAAGTGGCCAAGAAACTCTGAAAGATGAAGACATGTATTTGCGCCGTTGACTTGGATTTGATTGTGGTACTTTAGTATTGGATTTCTTTTGCTTTTGTGTGCAGCGAGAGCTTGAACTATTTGTAGTTTCAGTCGATGGGATACTGTCATTCAATTACTGTAGGAAACCTCGGTCTCACGTGTAACCTTGATTCCCCTGCCATCGAATGCACAGGAGAGACTGGCCGTCGATGAATCGGTGCCTTTTCTCCCTTCAGTCGATAGTTTGCCTCCATCAATATGCGTACTCCGTCTTTCCCCAGTCATACCTCCTGATTGTATGATGGTTTCTCGATGATTCGTAGCATCCTTGCGGAGGACACGTCCTGACCACAGTTTTGTCTCATCGTCCACCTTCCCCGAACCACCCTCAGATATGTCATCCTGAGACTGGAGCTCGTAAGATTCGGATTGCATGTTTCTTCGCTTCTTATTGTTCTCAATGACAGTATTGTACGGGAGAGACTTTTTGCCAGTCCTGGCTGTAGAACCGGTGATACGCGAGGAGAGGAAGCTAGGAAGGTACCGCATGAAGAACGGCTTGAGACCTGGCACGGCCGCGCATACTATGCCAGCATTCGCTTCGAGAAATGACCAGTTGAACTGTTCGGCAACGTCCCAGCTGTAGTCTAGGCTCTTCATCAAAGGCGGAAGAATTATGGTACGCTTGATTGCTGCGGCGCAGACACTGTAATGACGTTCAGTCAGCTGCTCTAAGGTCTTATCACAAGCTTTTCTTATCTGCTTAGACATAACTACCATCTTGTCGGATGAGGACGAGGTTGTCATGTGGGTACAGGACAAGCGACTGCAGGGGTTACTCACAAAGTGCCAGTTGCGAATAGTAGAATTACCGACGCTTTCTGCCGTCTGGCCATTTGAAGAGGGATGACAATCTTCAACGGCAGCACAAGAATGACGATATCCATGACAATGTTTGCGATGCTGAGAACCATGTAAACTGTCTCCTTATCGACACAGCTTGCAGTCTTCAACGCCACCGCATCCCATGAAGCATAGACAGGACGGCAACCGAACAGGCTAAGCAACTGATACGCAATCGAGTATGCAGTAACAATTCCAATCAACGTCATAACAACAATACGGAAGCTTTGGTCAGGACACAGTCGTAGGTAGAGAAAAAGAAGTGACAATTTCGCCAGAACAACAGTGAGGGAGTAGGTCATGGTCGTGCAAGTGCCGTACTGCGAGTTCCCGTTAGCTTAGTGAGCCCTCAGTGGCCAGAAAAGAAGGGGAAGTCAACAAAAACGTAGACTGGATGGTAGCTTACAATCAGAAACCCGGGATCATAGTCGGAATATTTGACCTGCCAAAAGTGGGATCCCACACCAAGCTCAATCACTGAAACATTATCATCAGCAGTGACCAAGCCACAAAATAGGTTTTGATCTACCACACTTACTCTTGAGGCCAGTAGCCAAGAATCCAAGACTCATGATCATCGAGGCAATGATCAAGTATGAAGTTCATGTTAGTGCTGATAGCACAAAGGAATTGACGATGCACTCACAATCATCTACTCCCAAGCTTCGTCGTACAATATGCGCTCTAGTGAAAATCCGAAGCACCACAAATACTAAAGCGACAATGGTGGTAGATGTTCCCGCCGCAATCATGCCGGACCCCACGCTGCCTGCAGCGAAGCGATCCTCCCCTTCCGGTGGATCTATCATGTAGACGATCTCCGCCCTGGAAGCCATTGCACAGCTTTCCAATCCAATGTTCGAGATGTTGCGTGACGTGGAGAAAGAAGTTTCAGAACCGATCAATTGGAACAGAAATGCAAAAGAAACAGCAGCACGATTTCGCGTTCGCAGAGACCTTGTTGGCTCTAAATGAACCTCATGATATTTGCACCGACGCGAACATCGGCCTAGGTAGCAAGGATCAATTCCTTCTTTCGACAGAAAGTGTCCGTTTTGCCGTTCTACCTCTGCTAGATGAGACGGCTGTCCTACTTCTACGTTCGCTAACGATTCTCCCGAGGCTACGGCCAGGAACCAACAAGTCTTTGGTCAAATTTTTGCCAGCCTTACCAATCATACGAGGATGTGGGGAACCAGGTAGCTGTTGGTGATGAGATATGATACCGGGAACGTCGTCGCGGGGAGCCGGGAGCGCTTCCGCGAGATCAATCCCAATCAATGCTGTGGCAACCTATGTTCAGCGCACTGGGGCCTTTTCGATTCCTGGTTGCTTCACGTCCAGGATATCCTAACCTTCAAATTGTTTTCGTTATGAATCTTACGACCAACTGACTGGCAATACCTGTACAATAATTTCGGTCACCTTTACAGCCCCCGGGGAGCATCTAGCTTCCAAGGTGAAGCTGATGTCGGTAAGGGGGCATGCTTAGTTATTACATGTGGAATAATTTCAATCAGATTGCTCTGGCGTTGGTTCTCCCGGACGAGGAGTTTCCTTTCTCAAGCTACTTATTCCCGGAATCAAAGGTGCTGGCATGATGGCGCTCAATGTGTAATCCAGTTTCGCTATCAGGCTCAGAAGACAATTCGCTCGCACCAGGAAGGATGACACTGGCAAGGGTTGCATTTCCCCAAGATAGACATTGCCTAGCGCTGTTGGTGGAGGATCCGCGCCGGAGTCTGAAGGGGATGCGGCTAATCTTGCTCAGTTCATCCAGCACGCTGCCAAAAGCCACCAGTGAGATGTGCGAAGTTGGCAAGACGTTGGAAACAGATCCACATTCTGGGTCCATTATCTCGCTTAGGCTCTGTCCTGCGTAGTTAGTTAATCAAGTGTGCAGCAAACACATTCAACACAGCAAATGCAGGCATCATGTTCAGCTGCCCAGACAGGAGAGCCCCAACAGCGTCATGTCATTCGCCAGTATCAACATTCGTGGCGGAGGATAAGCCTAGATCGTCGGTTGTCGGTCTGCGAACCGGTCGGTGTGGACCAAGCGGAAGCGAGGTCGGAAGTCAAGACTCTGGGCGGCCAGGGTGCCGTCCCCAATACCTCACCGTCGCTGGTCCTTTACGGCCTGCCTTATTCCCACCGCATGTTTGCTTGAGTGGGCCGGAAGATCCTTCGATACGGAAACCCAGGTTCATCTCAGGCGTGGATGCTGGGGTATGACATCCAAACATTTATGGGTGGGTAACGCTGGGCATGCAAGAGACTGTTGGAGCCGGGGTCATAATCGTAAGACAATGCGAGAGATTCCAAGACACTTGTCCTGGTGGATTTTGCAAACCAGACGGAAAAACAGACCAAAGGGCATGAAGACGGTTTACTTGACATGCGGCCTATATCTAATATTCGCTCCTCGATCCCGGGTGGACTTCAAGCTCGAGATTTTCCATCCTCGAAAGCTTCGACTTTCTGCCTTTGCCTAGCATGTCTCGAATGCAGACTGATGAAGAGAAGCACCCGGAGCTTTTCAAGCCCGACCTCAATATTGACCGCCGGACATGCAAGCGAGTCGTCCCATTGGAGGTCCTGGCCCTTGGCATGTCCAAGACGGGTACATCATGTAGGTATCCGCGATATCCTTAGAGATCGCCCCCAATACTCCTGAGTGACGCTAATCATGGACACCCAGCAATGCAACGAGCCCTCATGATTCTCGGCTACGATGACGTTTACCACGGCTTTTCTATGACATCCAACATCTGCGAGGTTCCGCTGTGGACCGAAGGCATGCATGCGAAAATGAACCCACAGCCGGGCCAGAAGCCCTTTGGTCGCACCGAGTTCGACCAGCTGCTAGGCCACTGCGGGGCCGTCTGCGATCTACCGCCGAACTTCTTCGGTCCGGAGCTGGTTAGAGCGTACCCCGAATCCAAAGTTGTCCTCGTCGAGCGGCAATTCGAATCGTGGTACAAAAGCTTCGACGAGAGCATCGTCAATGTTGCTTTCAACCCCGTCTGGAGGACGCTTTCATGGCTTCGCGCGAAGTATGTCGCAGAGATCGACGACATCACATTCACCTGGCTGCGGTACCAGTTCAACTCGGATACCAAGGAAGGAATCTTGGCCAATGCCCGGGAGGGATACAAGAGGCACTACGACACGATCCGCAGGGAGACTCCGCCCGAGAGGTTGTTGAACTACAATTTGAAGGATGGTTGGGGCCCGTTGTGTGAATTCCTAGGAAAGCCTATCCCTGATGTGCCCTTCCCACACGTCAATGACCATGAGGCATACCACGAGAAGCTTCAGATCATTATCAAGAAGGGTGCCAAGGCTTTCGCAAGGAAGATGGTATGGATTGCCGTGCCGGGTCTCGTCGGAGCTGCTGCTTATTACTTTGGGACCAAACCTGGCATGATCGAGCACGCGATGCAGTTCTTGAAATAATTCAAACATGTGCCTTGTTTTACGTCCATATTGAGCCAACACATCATCCGTGTGATTGGGTTTCATCGTTGAGAATTGATAAGAGCCTCGCTAGTTTCGGCTTAATTCTCATCGTCACTTCTCTCGAATGTGTAAGAAGTGCAATTATGCCGACAGGCACCAGTGACAATGGGCGGGGAAGCTGCTTGTTTCGTTGGATGCTTCGATCTCCTTTGTTGCAGTTGTTTGAGTTGGGAATGGATCAAAGGGACTGTGTTGCTGACAGGCGAGTGAAACATGGAAGGGGCATGAGCAGGCACGCAAACTCACCTTCGACACCTCCTTCCTCCCCAAGTGTACACGACCAAACTTCATTGGGCCACCATACTCAGGACTTGAACTGATTTCCACGATTCCAGGAGGTGCATCTGAAATGATAGATTCACTTGCTCTTCCTTTGGTTCGTACTGTGATAGCTGTGGATACAATAGTGAGATGGAAAGAACGGTCATGGTTTCGCATTCACGGGCTAACCTGGGGAAATGGCAGGGTGTGCAGATGTCTATGTTATATATAATAAAAGTACGCGTAAGGTGCAAGTAGGGTGGTCTCTGAACCTCTCCTGCCTGCCCTTTGCCTCGGTGCTTGTCTGCTGTATC